TTAGAAAAAGCAATTTCCTTGTTATATATGAGATATGAACCATCACCTTTAACACTGTTGAAGAACCAGAGAGAGAGAGAGAGAGAGAGAGAGAGAGAGAGAGAGAGAGAGAGAGAGAGAGAGAGAGAGAGAGAGAGAAGAGAGAGAGAGAGAGAGAGAGAGAGAGAGAGAGAGAGAGAGAGAGAGAGAGAGAGAGAGAGAGAGAGAGAATATCTAATTGGATCTCCTGGGATAACAGAGGTCAAAATGGCGTCAGAATCCGCCAGCACAAACGAGGTCGCCTACACACTAGCGTTCGCGGACAAAAATTAGCGAACCTCCTAAAAATGGGGATGCAAAGTAGTCTGCAGAGGGTAAGGTTACGATGAGGGTGGCAGGATAATGGGCGGGTGAGAGCCATGCCAGACCCCTGTACACCTCTGGAGAACAATGACTAGTGCAGGAAGTGCGGATGCGTCGAGGGAGGAGACAGAGAGCAAGATTATTTTTTTAGTTTAGCAAGGTGAAGGGAAGGCAGAGAAGAGAGAGAGAGAGAGAGAGAGAATTTTCTGCATCCATCATGCTGCATCATGCTAGATAAATGACAGGATGGATAATGAGAACCTTCAAAACTAGGGAGGCCAAGCCCATGATGACACTCTTCAGGTCACTTGTTCTATCTAGGCTGGAATATTGCTGCACACTAACAGCACCTTTCAAGGCAGGTGAAATTGCTGACCTAGAAAATGTACAGAGAACCTTCACAGCACGCATAACGGAGATAAAACACCTTAATTACTGGGAGCGCTTGAGGTTCCTAAACCTGTATTCCCTGGAACGCAGGCGGGAGAGATACATGATTATATACACCTGGAAAATCCTAGAGGTACTAGTACCGAACTTGCACACGAAAATCACTCACTACGAAAGCAAAAGACTTGGCAGACGATGCAACATCCCCCCAATGAAAAGCAGGGGTGTCACTAGCACGTTAAGAGACCATACAATAAGTGTCAGGGGCCCGAGACGGTTCAACTGCCTCCCAGCATACATAAGGGGGATTACCAACAGACCCCTGGCAGTCTTCAAGCTGGCACTGGACAAGCACCTAAAGTCGGTTCCTGATCAGCCGGGCTGTGGCTCGTACGTTGGTTTGCGTGCAGCCAGCAGCAACAGCCTGGTTGATCAGGCTCTGATCCACCAGTAGGCCTGGTCACAGACCGGGCCGCGGGGGCGTTGACCCCCGGAACTCTCTCCAGGTAAACTCCAGGTGGCTTGCTGCTTGCCAACGTCAATAGTAGAGTGCCAGGAAGTGAGAAGCCTGGCACTGTTGCCTGAAAACGTCACTGAGCATGTCAGGGCATTAATTAGTGTCAGGCATTATGACTGCTGTCTGGCACTGCTGCCTGCCATTGTTGCCTGGCACTGTTGCCTGCCAACGTCACTGAGGATGTCAGGGCATTAATTAGTGCCAGGCATCATGACACTGCTGTCTAGCACTGCCGCTGAACCGTCACGTGTGTCAACGTTCCGTCCTATCTGCAGTCCATTTCAGGGGTCGCGACCAGGTCCCAGACCTGGCCTCCAGATTATTGGCCTGATCATCCAGACTGTTGGTACCAGCCGTACGTGGCCCAACGCATGCACCACAGCCTGGCTGATCAGGAACTTATCAAGTTCCCTCCTGAAGACAGCCAAGGGTTTGTTAGTAATTCCTCTTATGCATGAAGTGTGTTGAAGAGTCTTGGCCCCCTTACGGTATTTACTGCTCCTTTGCTTTTCATTAGAAGATGAGCAAAATACCGGCCCTCACCTGATAACTTCCTGATGGGCAACACCAGCCCTCACCTGATAACTTCCTGATGGGCAACACCAGCCCTCACCTGATAACTTCCTGATGGGCAACACCAGCCCTCACCTGATAACTTCCTGATGGTCAACACCAGCCCTCACCTGATAACTTCCTGATGGTCAACATCGGCCCTCATCTGATAACTTCCTGATGGGCAACACACCAGCCCTCACCTGATAACTTCCTGATAGGCAACACACCAGCCCTCACCTGATAACTTCCTGAAGGGCAACACACCAGCCCTCACCTGATAACTTCCTGAAGGGCAACACCAGCCCTCACCTGATCTCCGCCACCTCATCCTGATAAGAACATAAGAACGAAGGAACACTGCAGCAGGCCTACTGGCCCATGCGAGGCAGGTCCAAGTCTCTTACCAGCTTAAGCTAATGCACCCAAACTAGTCAGGTCAGGTCACCTTGACTTAAGGGAGGAACACGGCAACCGACCTGGTAGCACAAGCTATCAGGTCCAACTCACACCCACCCACATCCACTCATGTATTTATCCAACCTATTTTTAAAGCTACACAACGTTCTGGCCTCTATAACTGTACTTGGGAGTTTGTTCCACTCGTCCACAACTCTATTACCAAACCAGTACTTTCCTATATCCTTCCTGAATCTGAATTTTTCCAACTTAAAACCATTGCTGCGAGTCCTGTCTAGGCTAGATATTTTCAGCACACTATTTACATCCCCTTTATTTATTCCTGTCTTCCATTTATACACCTCAATCATATCCCCCCTAATTCTACGTCTTTCTAGAGTGCAGATTCAGGGCCCTTAGTCTATCCTCATAGGGAAGGTTTCTGATACATGGGATCAACTTTGTCATCCTCCTTTGTACATTTTCCAGAGCATTTATATCCATTCTGTAATACGGTGACCAAAACTGTGCAGCATAATCTAAATGAGGCCTAACCAAGGATGTATAGAGTTGAAGAACAACCTGAGGACTCCTATTATTTATGCTTCTTGATATGAAGCCAAGGATTCTATTAGCTTTATTGCGAACACTTATGCACTGTTGTCTTGGTTTCAGATTACTGCTAACCAGAACTCCTAAATCTTTTTCGCAATCCGTAATATTAAGATCTACATTATTTAGTTTATATGGGCAGCACAATTATTTTAAGAGTGTATGCATTTAGAACTCCGGCTCCTCTTCAACTAATCCTAATCCTGAGTCTATTTTAAGACCTGAGTGGCAAGAAACCTGACTGGTAGTTTGTATATTACTTTTCATTATATATATATATATAAATATATATATATATATATATATAATATATATATATATATATATATATATATATATATATATAAATAAATAATGTCGTGCCGAATAGGTCAAACCTCTTCTTGCCGTACAAGACAAGCGAAAATTGGTGTATGCAGTAATTTCGTAATAATCATTCTGAACCTAACGAAAAAAATATATGTGTGTTTATTAAATTACTGTAAACTTATCTAAAATATATTTAGCTGGATTAGGTAAGTTTTCTAAGGTTCTTTTGGTACAAAATTATTACTTTTTACATTAACATAAATGAAAAAATATATCTTTAAACGTTTAAGAGAAAATTTTAGAAAGGACTTAGCTAATTCACCAGTTTTACCAATTCAAACCGGCATTATGTGTGTGTGTGTGTGTGTGTGTGTGTGTGTGTGTGTGTGTGTGTGTGCGCGCGCGCGCGCAAGCAAGCCAATCACATAGTAATATTAATCCTTTGCTCAAGATTTTTGGCACTCCCGTGCGTCGTCAGGAGCTATACAATGCTGCAAGTCAAGCAACAGATAGGAGGGAAAAATTCTCTGGAAGGCAAAATAGAAGTGCGTCCCTACCACTGTAGGGAGGCGCCTGCTGGTCACTCACGCCAGGGTGGACACACACATGCTGGACCACGACAAACACAGCAAACTGTGAATGTAAGCAAACAGTAAACTGAGATTCAATTAAGGAAACTATCAAGATGAGATAAGCGAGGATTGTGTGGAACTCTGCAGTCAACACAGCACTCGATCCTTCACCCATCAGTCAGGATCTTTATCCTTGCAGTATAAACAATCATGCTAAGGGAAATTAGCCAGTCATGACTGGGGCTCGACACCTAGGGGCTCCCCCAGCCACTTGAACCTCAGGCTCTATCCAAGGTGGGTAGGAAGAGAAGCCAGCCTCTGAGCGCAGACACGTCAAGACCACAGTCCTGGACAGCAACACATCTGAGCACCAAACGACTGGTTACCTAGCAGCAAGTAGGTACCTGGGTGTTAGCCGACTGGTGTGGGTCGCATCCTGGGGACAAAATTAACCTAAGTTATCCGAAATGCTCTGCATAACCAGGGGATTTCTATATAGTATGTCACTGATGTCAGCTATGGTCTGTATAAGTTGCATCATATACGTGTAGAAATAAAAATTATTTTTTTTTATTATTAGAATTACAACTTATACAGGCCTATCTCCTCACGGCACAGACCCAGGGAAAGTTCAGACTCAACAGAAAACCCTCCATCTTGAGGTTTATGTGGAAGGAAAGCCAAACAGACATGTCGTGTGTAAGACACTGTATAGATTGTTTGCCTGGAGGACCCACCAGGTCTGTTACTTCCCAGGGATGAAGTTATTCATGTTGCCCAGTAGTTTATTATGAGACAGATGGTGGTACAGAGCAGACTAGAACCAACACTTCAGTACTCGCCCGTTCATTACCAGGGACTCGGCCTGAGATGCCTCAACTACCAGCACAACTTGTGAGGAGAGAAAACGAATGGAAGGGGAGAAAAGGAAGAGGAGAGGGAAGGAGATGAGAGAAGGAATGAAGGAGAAGAATTAGAGAGGGAGAGTGGAAGGGATGGACGAAGGAAGTAAGCAAAGAGAGGGACAAATAAAGGAGAAAGGAAGAGAGCGAGTTGTTTAAAAATAAATAGGAAGAGGTAGAACAGTAAACAATTCCAGTGCTCCATTAGAGAAGCCAAGAGTCCGTTTATGAGGTTACGAGGTTCCCAACTTCAAGTTACTTGATAAAGTTGCGAGATTTCCAGCTTCTAGTTACTTGTTCCTGGGTGAGACTGGAACATAACCCCAGCTTGATCAAGCCTCATAGTAGCTTACAGCAACAAGAGTATCTTACTGTAAAGACATTAAAGTAAATGGAGTAACTTACAGTGGGGGTACCGGAGCGGTCCTCCAGCTCTCCGTTAACGGTAGGGGCAGCGGCGTCGGTGGCGTCGGGTGGCGTCGCTGAAACGACATCGTCGTCACCACCTTTCACACCATCTTCGAACTTGACGGAGCGATGGCTTGAGCCAGACAGCCGCTGTTTGGCCTGTCTTCTTAGTCTGGACAACATGGCGGCTGCGGAAAGTGTAGCCGGGAGCGCAGAGAGCAACACAGGTGCTGTGGTAGCTGTGTTACCACAGCAACTGTTACTGACTGTGGTACCTTTGGCCCCTCCCTCTCCCCACCTCTCTTTCTCACCTCCTTTCTCTCACTATTCTCCTTTTCAAAGGCTTTTTTGAATGTTTACTTCTCAATTATTCCATCCTTTGTTATAGCCTTTTATCCACTGCTTTACATACATCCTGGTCTGTCTGTGGTGTTATGTTCTATGTCCAACTTAATCTGTGCTTCACTGTATTCTCTCTATATACTGTCAAAACACTACACTTTCTCTTGGTACAATCTTCCCTGTTATAAAAGGCTTGGTTAACACGTAATGTTCCCTGGTTAACAACACCTCAGCAAATAAGACATTTATGGTTACGGTGCTGAGATCTTCTTCACTCAGCACTGCAGTCAACAAGGTGCTGAGACCTTGTTCACTCAGCACTGCAGTCAACAAGGTGCTGGGACCTTGTTCACTCAGCACTGTAGTCAACAAGGTGCTGGGACCTTTCCACAATAAAGTGTTCCAAGTGTTTCTTGAAGCACCTTCAACGTCAACTTCTCAGCATTAAACACCAGATTCTCACTAGGTAACATTTCACCAGTAACACAACACTGCAGCACCGGTACTTCGGCTCACACACTGAGTCACACTCAACGTACTACATGCAGCTGGCCATGTGTGCTTGTGGCACCTGCCGGCCACCAGTGCCATTGCCAACCCTCCCAACCTTGGCACTGGCTTATCACTGCCCAATATTGCAACCAGAATCACCAACATTTCAACATTTATCAGAGGCATTACACTCGAGAAGGCTCGTTTCTCCGTTCTCCAGGTTGAGGGACTGATCACCTCAAATGCTTTTTCTCCAAGGCTGATGGACTGATTACATCATATTTATTTCACTAGTACACCTGCTGCCTCTATTTGACTGAAGAAGGCTACTGTGTAGGCGAAACGTTTCATCAATAAAGATACTCAACTGTTGCACATGTGTCTTACTGACTCACGAAATCGTAATGACACGATTGCAAACAAGTCATACCACGGGTGGGGATAGAACTCGCGATCAGAGTTTCTTTTATGACTCTGATAGTGGGTTCTATCCCCACCCAAGGTATGGTTTATGTATCTTAATCTTCAGACTGTTGGTAATTTCCCCTTACCCGTGAAGTCTTGGTCCCTTTACACTTAACGAGTCCTCTCCTTGTGTACTCTTTACATCCCCACTTTTCATGATCAGTCACTTACAGTGCCACTGAGGTCATCCTCTCGTACACTGCTGGGACTTCACGGTGAAGTTATCAAAGGAAAGCCTTCCTGTGGCCCACGATATTGTAATAACACGATTGTAAACCACGGAACGGGTGGGGTTTGAATCCGTGGCAAGTGAGTCCTGTGGGTTTCAGGACATTTTTTGACATAAAAATGAGGAGACACACACACACACACACACACACAGAGTTGTCAGGAAGTGGAATAGCCTAGAGAGTGACGTAGTGGAGGCAGGAACCATACATAGTTTTAAGACGAGGTCCGATAAAGCTCATGGAGCAGAGGACCTAGTAGCTATCAGTGAAGAAGCGGGGCCAGGAGCTATGAATCGACCCCTGCAATCACAAACAGGGGAGTACAAATAGGTGAGCATACAGCCAGGTAAGGCTGAAGGATGTTGAGTACCAGATGTTTTACCCAGAGGTGTGTGGGGGCGAGACGTTCCCTGGGGACATCTCGACCTCCGCCTGCCTCTCTTTACACCCGGACGTGTCAACCAGACAGCCAGACAACTGCCTTCACTTAGCATATTGTGTTTTGAATAACGTAGGTGTGGCATCACGTCTACAACGTCTTCCAGCATCACTACCATCAATACCACACGTCACTACCATCAATACCACACGTCACTACCATCAATACCACAAGTCACTACCATCAGCACCACATGTCACTACCATCACCACCACACGTCACTACCATCACCACCACACGTCACTACCATCACCACCACACGTCACTACTATCACCACCACACGTCACTACTATCACCACCACACGTCACTACTATCACCACCACACGTCACTACTATCACCACCACACGTCACTACTATCACCACCACACGTCACTACCATCAGCACCACACGTCACTACCACCAGCACCACACGCTAGAATATTCTATCAAGTCTTCACGAGAAATAATTAAAGACAGGCATCAATATCTGTCACCATCTCATTCCGAAACCGGCGAACAACTTAACTCCATCAAAATACAATTAACTATACTTAATAACTCACATGGAGATAGAAACTCGGGAGATTAACTGATGTGTATATATCGACCCCTCTTCCTGGGGTCCTCTTCAGCAGAAGGGGGTCGAAGTATACAGATCAATTAATCTCCAGAGTTTTTGTGTCCATGTGGCTTATATTATTAAGCACAAGTGTTTAATTATTCACACTTGTCTATAATGACAAACAAGATTATTAAAATGGAAGGAAATTGGTACTAGTTTGTGTATGTACATGAGAGCTTGTGTGTTACAGGCAGGGAAGGCAGCAGCATGAGGAGAGCCTGTGTGTTGCAGGCAGGGAAGGCAGCAGCATGAGGAGAGCCTGTGTGTTGCAGGCAGGGAAGGCAGCAGCATGAGGAGAGCCTGTGTGTTGCAGGCAGGGAAGGCAGCAGCATCAGGAGAGCCTGTGTGTTGCAGGCAGGGAAGGCAGCAGCATGAGGAGAGCCTGTGTGTTGCAGGCAGGGAAGGCAGCAGCACGAGGAGAGCCTGTGTGTTGCAGGCAGGGAAGGCAGCAGCATGAGGAGAGCCTGTGTGTTGCAGGCAGGGAAGGCAGCAGCACGAGGAGAGCCTGTGTGTTGCAGGCAGGGAAGGCAGCAGCACGAGGAGAGCCTGTTGTGTTGCAGGCAGGGAAGGCAGCAGCACGAGGAGAGCCTGTGTGTTGCAGGCAGGGAAGGCAGCAGCACGAGGAGAGCCTGTGTGTTGCAAGCAGGGAAGGCAGCAGCACGAGGAGAGCCTGTGTGTTGCAGTCAGGGAAGGCAGCAGCACGAGGAGAGCCTGTGTGTTGCAGGCAGGGAAGGCAGCAGCATGAGGAGAGCCTGTGTGTTGCAGGCAGGAAGGCAGCAGCATGAGGAGAGCCTGTGTGTTGCAGGCAGGGAAGGCCAGCAGCGCATGAGGAGAGCCTGTGTGGTTGCAGGCAGGGAAGGCAGCAGCATGAGGAGAGCCTGTGTGTTGCAGGCAGGGAAGGCAGCAGCATGAGGAGAGCCTGTGTGTTGCAGGCAGGGAAGGCAGCAGCATGAGGAGAGCCTGTGTGTTGCAGGCAGGGAAGGCAGCAGCATGAGGAGAGCCTGTGTGTTGCAGGCAGGGAAGGCAGCAGCATGAGGAGAGCCTGTGTGTTGCAGGCAGGGAAGGCAGCAGCATGAGGAGAGCCTGTGTGTTGCAGGCAGGGAAGGCAGCAGCATGAGGAGAGCCTGTGTGTTGCAGGCAGGGAAGGCAGCAGCATGAGGAGAGCCTGTGTGTTGCAGGCAGGGAAGGCAGCAGCATGAGGAGAGCCTGTGTGTTGCAGGCAGGGAAGGCAGCAGCATGAGGAGAGCCTGTGTGTTGCAGGCAGGGAAGGCAGCAGCATGAGGAGAGCCTGTGTGTTGCAAGCAGGGAAGGCAGCAGCATGAGGAGAGCCTGTGTGTTGCAGGCAGGGAAGGCAGCAGCATGAGGAAAGCCTGTGTGTTGCAGGCAGGGAAGGCAGCAGCATGAGGAGAGCCTGTGTGTTGCAAGCAGGGAAGGCAGCAGCATGAGGAAAAGCCTGTGTGTTGCAGGCAGGGAAGGCAGCAGCATGAGGAAGCCTGTGTGTTGCAGGCAGGGAAGGCAGCAGCATGAGGAGAGCCTGTGTGTTGCAAGCAGGGAAGGCAGCAGCATGAGGAAGAGCCTGTGTGTTGCAAGGGAGGGAAGGCAGCAGCATGAGGAGAGCCTGTGTGTTGCAGGCAGGGAAGGCAGCAGCATGAGGAGAGCCTGTGTGTTGCAAAGGGAGGGAAGGCAGCAGCATGAGGAGAGCCTGTGTGTTGCAGGCAGGGAAGGCAGCAGCATGAGGAGAAACCTGTGTGTTGCAGGCAGGGAAGGCAGCAGCATGAGGAGAGCCTGTGTGTTGCAAGCAGGGAAGGCAGCAGCATGAGGAGAGCCTGTGTGTTGCAGGCAGGGAAGGCAGCAGCATGAGGAAAGCCTGTGTGTTGCAGGCAGGGAAGGCAGCAGCATGAGGAGAGCCTGTGTGTTGCAAGCAGGGAAGGCAGCAGCATGAGGAAAGCCTGTGTGTTGCAAGCAGGGAAGGCAGCAGCATGAGGAGAGCCTGTGTGTTGCAGGCAGGGAAGGCAGCAGCATGAGGAGAGCCTGTGTGTTGCAGGCAGGGAAGGCAGCAGCATGAGGAGAGCCTGTGTGTTGCAGGCAGGGAAGGCAGCAGCATGAGGAGAGCCTGTGTGTTGCAGCAGGGAAGGCAGCAGCATGAGGAGAGCCTGTGTGTTGCAGGCAGGGAAGGCAGCAGCATGAGGAGAGCCTGTGTGTTGCAGGCAGGGAAGGCAGCAGCATGAGGAGAGCCTGTGTGTTGCAGGCAGGGAAGGCAGCAGCATGAGGAGAGCCTGTGTGTTGCAGGCAGGGAAGGCAGCAGCATGAGGAGAGCCTGTGTGTTGCAAAGGGAGGGAAGGCAGCAGCATGAGGAGAGCCTGTGTGTTGCAGGCAGGGAAGGCAGCAGCATGAGGAGAGCCTGTGTGTTGCAGGCAGGGAAGGCAGCAGCATGAGGAGAGCCTGTGTGTTGCAGGCAGGGAAGGCAGCAGCATGAGGAGAGCCTGTGTGTTGCAGGCAGGGAAGGCAGCAGCATGAGGAGAGCCTGTGTGTTGCAGGCAGGGAAGGCAGCAGCATGAGGAGAGCCTGTGTGTTGCAGGCAGGGAAGGCAGCAGCATGAGGAGAGCCTGTGTGTTGCAGGGAGGGAAGGCAGCAGCATGAGGAGAGCCTGTGTGTTGCAAGCAGGGAAGGCAGCAGCATGAGGAGAGCCTGTGTGTTGCAGGCAGGGAAGGCAGCAGCATGAGGAGAGCCTGTGTGTTGCAAGCAGGGAAGGCAGCAGCATGAGGAGAGCCTGTGTGTTGCAAGCAGGGAAGGCAGCAGCATGAGGAGAGCCTGTGTGTTGCAGGCAGGGAAGGCAGCAGCATGAGGAGAGCTGTGTGTTGCAAGCAGGGAAGGCAGCAGCATGAGGAGAGCCTGTGTGTTGCAAGCAGGGAAGGCAGCAGCATGAGGAAGCCTGTGTGTTGAGGCAG